AAATCACTTATCAATTACGTAGATATGTATTCTCTAATGAGTGCCATCATTAGTTAATATTTGTCTATTTTCAATATTTTCATATTTATTTTTAGGTTATTTAATAAAATTAACTGAGTAGTTCCACAGCATTACTAGTTTAGTTGTTATCTAATGCTGTCATAATTGCACGTTTCTCTATCGTTATTTCAATAAAAACAAATAATGTTTCAACGTTTTCATGTTTTCAGGAAAGATGGTTTATTTTGAGTAGAAAAATTAATAAAATCAAATAACACAAAGGTTGAAAGGATAGTAAATAATCTTTAGGAGAGAAAAAAAAACGAACGACTTCGTAAACAAACAATGTGTATGGTATAGTTTTTTGAGGCTGCCGTATTAGATTAGGCCATAGACTTTGGAAACTGTCCAAAAGGGATCTTAGGTAGTGATGACAGATGCTGCTGATGACAAACTATCAAAATTAATCCCATACACTGTATGGATAAACTGTCGTTTATAAAGTCTAAGGTTTAGGGCTACACTATGACAATTATATAACTATATCAAAAGTCTACATGCTTCTCTGTTCATTGCATATTTTAGAGAAATCAAGATTTTTTTTATTAGTGAGTTATTTTCACTAGTTGATAAAACAGCCAGAATTCCATATATCGTTGTAAAACTCAAAACCCAAATGTTAGTTTTAACCATATTAATTATTTAGCAGAAAGAGTATTTACGAGAACGATATGTTGAATTTAAATTTAGAGGAAATATTCCTAAGATATAATTCAGATGTCCACATGAACTGAATGTAAGATTCATGAACTGAATACCGGATTTTGTAGTTATATTTCACGTGTATTGAATGAGTTTAAGATGTTTAAAAATGGGAGTTTTGTCCTCTAAAATATGGGGAAATCCAACAAGGGATACCTTTCTCTGATTTATTATGAAAATAATACAATAAACTGACATTGTTAAAAGCCAGTTGCTCAAACTGATATTGTTGCAAATCAAATGTTCTAACTGATGTTATTACAAGTCAAGTGCTCTATATGAGTGATGTACGTTTGTGTCGTTAGTTTCTTATATACTTCCCATATGAAATCAGTGTGGTATCTCTCGTTGGATCATTCTCTATAATGTAATGTGCTTCACCTGGTGTTGTTGAAGCTAGTCGAATCTCGACTAGTAACGAAAGAAATGGTAAATTAGGACACATTCTGAAATCTGTTGTACGTTATAAGCCTATTCAATCATCGTTCCCTCTTCCTACCTTCTAGTGTATTGTCAGCGGTTGGCAGCCATAGTTTTTTTAGTGACAGCCACATTCCCTTTCGATTTATATTGTTGATAGACTTTAGTGATAGATGTTTTTCAACGCCTAGTCAGAAACGGTATTCGTAAAAAAAGTCCCTACAAAACGTACATTTGCTATTTTGCCCCTAAAAGACTAATCATGATATAATATTGTTTCTGTTTTTATGGAACTCAATCCGTCACCTGACTTATTATAAGTCATGATAATTACTGGAATGCTCTATAAAAGTGCGGGAGAGTCTTTATAAGCTGATTAATCAATCAAATACTATGAACACTTACTATACATCAGCAAAATCATTTTTATTCTTTGAGTCTTGCTTATAAATAGGGGTGATTATGATTTAAATTATCCTCAATTTTGTATAACATGGAGTATAAAGTGAAAACAAAATCTTGGCTTGGGAGGGTAATGTTAAATAATTTTCCTTTCAACCCTAGGAACCATTTTTATAAAGGGCTTAAAAGTTGACAAACGAAGATATGATCTGACTTTAGACAAAAATTAATGTTAGTTTCAAGAAACTGGATTAATCTTGTTCATTAGAAATCGCATTTGTTAATACTTGTGGACAAATCCTAATAGTATTTGATTTGCTATGTAATTGAAATTTTCAACCTAAATTGTCAACATACACATGCATACTTAGACTGAAGGGCCAGGTCAGAGACCACTAGGTTTTAGGTGTAGCCGTCCCTTTTATAACGTACCCACAACTCAAAGTGCGAAACGTATTCAGGAGAATCACGTCTCGAACCACAGACCATTCGATCAACAACCCGACAGTTCGCCCTGTAGATAAACAATATTATTTCATTACTTAATCTTCAGCATTTTAAAAGCCATGTGTAATTTTATGACCATTCTTTAGTAGATATTTCTACCGAACTTCTTTTATAGCTGCGTTAACCCCGCAATATATATATATATATATTAGAACGAGGAAAGCATCGTGCGTCATATGAGTATCCTAGCAACAAGAGCAGATGTTCAATGTTTATGGATTGAAGTGTTAAGCTGAGTTATGTTTATAGAGGTCGAGGAGCAACTAGAGGGTTCTAGTTTCTTTACGCATTTACTATTCGTAGACGGTGGTGCGGGTGGTGGCTTAAGCACATAGAGGTTCTATTTCAGTTGCACAAAAACAATGACTTAAATTGTTCTTTTGTAGTAGTAGAATTTTTATTCTGTACAGCTACAAACTACATTTATCACACTAGCAGAAACGGGGCACAGCCCTACCTCCACAAATTTATACCTGGAGGCTAAGTCCCGTATGTTTCAAAGAGCACGTTTTTAGTCCAGGAACCACATAAACTAAAAACAGCAGAAACGGGGTCACAGCCCTACCTCCACAAATTTAGACCTGGAGGCTAAGTCCCGTATGTTTCAAAGCACAAGTTTTTAGTCAAGGAACCACATAAACTAAAAACAGCAGAAACGGGGTCACAGCCCTACCTCCACAAATTTAGACCTGGAGGCTAAGTCCCGTATGTTTCAAAGAACAAGTTTTTAGTCCAGGAACCACATAAACTAAAAACAGCAGAAACGGGGTCACAGCCCTACCTCCACAAATTTAGACCTGGAGGTTAAGTCCCGTATGTTTCAAAGAGCACGTTTTTAGTCCAGGAACCACAGGTTTAGTGTTATTACAGTAATATGAAAGACGTGTTTATTAAAACTATGCTAGGACTAAATCAGTGAGGTCACGTGTTTATATCATAAACAAATGTTCATCTAAAACCTAATTAACGTGACATCATTTTCATTGAATAAGTATAGAACTGACCTTAGCAGTTTAGCTATTACATTTGTTCATTATATCAAAAAGCTTGCAAAACAGTGAAATATTGTGAGTCAAGGTGCAAAGTTTTTATACTTACATCTTGTAGTAGTGTAGTGTAGTTCAGTAATATTGTTGATTACTAGGTAATATGGTATAATGACGTAAGTTTAATGGTTTATACTTACATCTGGTAGTAATGGTTGTAATCAATATAAAGTGTAATTCAGTAACATAGTTGATAACTGCGTGTTATGGTATAATGATACAAATTTAATGGTTTATTCTTACATCTGGTGTTAATGGTTGTAACCAATGTAAACTGTAGCTCAGTAATGTAGTTGGTTACTGCGTGCTATGGTATAATGATACAAATTTAATGGTTTATACTTACTTCTGGTAGCAATGATGGCAAATGAATGTGTATTCCATGATTGTAGCTACCACATCCGTGTTACTGTAAAAAATTTAAGTTTAACGATTCGGATTTAGATCTCTGATTGTAATGATCTAAAAGATTTTAAGTACAGTTCGTAACCAAAGCTCGGTAGCCTATACTTTTCAAAAAGTAAAAACAACAGAAATAGAATGTAGGTGCAATTCATTATAACAGTTTCTCATTTTATAAAAAGGCCCCAGGGGCACAGTGGCATGCCTGCGGACGTACAACGCTAGAAGCCGGGTTTCGATACCCGTGGTGGGCAGAGCTCTGATAGCCCATTGTGTAGCTTTGTGCATAACTACAAACATAATAAAAAAATTATAAAAAGGTGCGTGTCTGTGCACATCTGCCACTATGCATGGTTAAGACAGTGTAATAAACTAAAAACGTAACTGAGTATATGCATATTTTTTCATTCAGTGTTATTATTTTTGTTATCTTGTTCAAATTAGAACACTGAGTAATTACACCCTTATGAACAATGAATTTCATAATCTGTGCGAACAGATTGGAACAATTTTACGCCATTTGAATGCTGTAAACATACATTTATATCAGAGAACCTTCTTCTGAATAAACAAATAAATACTGTTCAAAGAACATCATGAGTACGTTTGATGGCAGTTATTAAATGCGTGTATTTATTTTATTCTACTTTAAATAATATTCTAAGTACAGATTCAGTCAAAACACAGTATACTGTAATGAAGTCATTTTTGTTACTCATCTTTAGAAAAATAAGATCATGTAGTACTGCTATCAATTCTTGGAAATAAAAGTCAGTTTACAGACAACCTTTTCTGTCAGCTATCGTCAGTCACACCGACCCTCGTGAAGGAAGAGCAAGAGAGACAGGGTGTTGAGAGAATTCACGTCCCAGATGGTTTTCTGTATAAAAAATTGACCTTACTGTGCTATATGGGGCTCGAGTTTCCAAAAAAAAAATAATCATGCCGACGAGAAGTTAACCGATACAAGGACATCGACAGTGATAACAGTGGTTATCCTTCGCTTCTTTCACTGTAAGAGCATAATAAAAATACAAGGCCGCACATTTCGTTATGATCTGTTACGTACGTAATATAGGTCCCAAGGAACTTAGACGATATCAACTTTTATTCTTTTTTTTAACAATTAAGATTTTTTTTTATGTGAGTCTGCCATGAAATAAAGTTAAATGCGTTGGCCTTGTAAAATATGTAAAAATTATTTCATTAATGTTTGTTTTATAGCAAAGCCACATTGGGCTATCTGCTGTTGGGGAATCGAGACCCGAATTTTGAAGTTGTAAGTTTGTAGACTTACCGCCGTCCCACCGGTGGACATTACACTACTGAAGCTTGCATTTACCAAAAACTTTGTAAACAAAAAACAAGAAGAAAAAAAAAAGACTTTGATGAGCCAGAAAGAGAGTTTAGAGGTTTTTTTATCCACAAATATAGTTATTTTTACATAACCTATAGCCTTACCGATGGTAGTAATGACAGTGAGCGAGTAGAGAAATGCTCCTGAGAATGACCACTGCTGACCAGCCTCCGCATTCTTACCGTCGTAGCCATCCCTGACTGCCGTTATTAGAGCCGACTGGAATTCCCTGATTTCGGAGGTTACCGATCGGGTCCAGTTTTCCCGGTAGAGTATGTTGTAATTGGACGTGATATCCCATAGTCGTTTCACCATCTTTTCCCTCATTTCGTTCACTTCTCCCGCCTTTTCTTTTTCGTAGGGAGCCTCCAGTGCCCGGAACGCAAAAGCGCCCATGATGCTGTAGCCGACCACTAGACCACATAAACCGACATGCGAGAACATGAAGGCCGTGAACTTGCGACAGCACGTCTTGCATTTGTTGACCGGCGGACGTTTCTTCGTAGGATGATGTCCTTCTCTTCTACTTCTGCGAGAAGACCTTTTTCTCTCTATTGGCATCACAATAACAGGTCTAAAAGCAATTTAGTCTAGTCGTCTGTGAGTCCTTTTTAATAAGTAGGACGAAAATTAACATTTTTTAGAAACGCAGACAGAATACTTAAGACGCTCATTCACAAGACATTCACTGTACTCCAGTCTTCACAGAATAAACCACATGGTCTGCGATATACAGATAAACATCGCACTATAGTGTAGTCAACGTGATAGCCTTTCATTGCTGTCGCCATCTGTTGGTTAAATGTTTAGTATAATATAGCCATTGTATAATCTGTATGCAAGATAATACAATGAGCCTTTGATTGCAGGGAAAAGAAAGAGATTAAAAGATTCATGAAGAATATAATACTGAATTAACGCACGTCTAAACAAACTGTTCATTGCAAATTGATTTTTAATTTTGTACTAAGAAAAAGTAATTTTGTATTAAGAGTTCGCCTATAATACAGTTTACCCTTACACAACAAGCAAAATATAAGATCCACTATATACAATTATTCGTTTTTGAAAATTACCCGTTATTAGCACATTTCCAACTGTACGGATTTAAGAAAAATAACTTTTAGATACAAATTCAGATTTTTTCTTTAAGCCCATATGAAACTTTGACTTATTTGACGTATAATACTTAATCATCGAATGGCTTTTTTAAACCTTTTCTGTATTTAAACGACGACCAACCTAACACTAATACATAATTAAGCAACTGGAAACCAAATTTACTCCTTCAAAGTCTCACCATAGTGAGTCAGCGGTAATTTTACGGACTTACAATGCTAAAAATCAGAGGTTTGATGTCTCGTGTTGGATAGAGAGCACGTGGCACATTGTGAAGCTTAGCGTTACAAATAAAACGACAACCTACAAAAAATTGAAAGTATTCGGATTTATTTACAAAACAACCATGAATTTTTTATTTTATTTTATCAGTATTCTATTATTAAAAAATACTGTTATTAACCTTTCATACCATAATTTCCTGGAACACCATAATAATATATGTAATTAAAATTTCCGTTTAAAAATTTGGTCTACTCGTTGTATTTTTGCACACAGTTACTAGAGAGCTATCTGAACTAGCAATATCCAATTTTCAAGTTATAGACTAGAGGAAAGGCAGCTAAACATACCATCCACTGCCATTTCTTGACCTACTCTTTACCAACGAAAAGCGGGATTCACCATCATATTTTAACTCCTTCACAGCTGAAAGGGCAAGAATATTCAGAAACGAAATTTGAACTCGCGACTCAGAGATTGCGAATTGAGTGCCATAATCACTAAGCCATGCCAGGCCATTATAAATCTAGATACATAACATTCAATATGTATTAACGTACACATTGTAGCTTTGAGTTTTCTGTGTGTATCTCTTGTACTAATTAATCTAACAAACTTCAAAGTGGTTATCAAGATTTTGCGGCCACGGGCTGCGAACAATGAACCACTGGACTTACAGTCAGAGACTACTAATCAGTTCACCATGCAATACAGAGTATTATTAACATATATAATCTGGAATCAAATAAGAATGATAATTATTCTGCTTAGCGCCATCTGTTGAATATTATAGGAAGCTAAAAACCAGAAGGTTTAAAGATGTTGTTCACTTATCATAAACCAATAAAATTCATTATTTAACAACAAAAAAATCAAAGGGATGAAAATATTCTCATGAAATAGAGGTTGCTACAGGATTTTGAATCCGTGTATACCTCGAAATATTCCCCGCACCTAAAGATCTGGGTGCGTTATAAGAATGGCAGTCAATCCGCTATCTTGAGTGGTGGATAATAGGTTGCTGTTGATAGGCTACCTTCCCTCTGGTCAGTAGTTCACCTTATTTTACTAAGGTAGATGACCTTAGTAGCTTTGCCATAGATACATATTCACTAAAATGCACCTTATTTTGATATATATTGTTTGTAATTACAATATTCGATCAACGTATTTTATTCTGAAGTTACCATCAATTATTTTGCAGTGACATATATTTATCTTTGAACTATGTTTGATGGTAGTGAATAACTCAAATAAATAAATAAATAAATCCTTTAAAAACAACTTAAAAACTGTGCGTAACGATATAAAATGAAGAAATTCTAGTCAATATGTATATTATCCATGTGTTTATGTATTCCAACGAACAGTAAGTTTGAATACTTATTAGAATACGTGTGTGACATTTGAAATCCGATAAATTTTACCCATCCATAACTATCAATGAATATATATTTATTCAGTATTTTTCAAATTTTTCATGCATTGTTTTTGTTGCTTGTTATTAAGCACAAAGCTAATCAAACGGCTATCTGTTCTTTTCTCACCAAGAGTATACAAACCCAGTTTCTTGTAGTATAAGACCCCAAACATACCACTGTGCCACTGGGAGGCTATTTCATGCATATTTGCTGTATTTAGTCAATTACTTGAAAGCAGAATCTGAGTACTCATGGATTTGTGTGAATCAACGTTTTAGACAAAGATAATGTATCACAGTAATAATTCAAGACAGCTTGTACTATCGTGGCCAAGCTTCTGTGTCACCCCTCTTCTGGTGCAAAAGTTTGAACGAGTTAATATCCCATATAATTCAATACAAATGACAATTGTCTTACGTAACTAAGATTGTGGGATACTGCACTAGAACCCTAGTCTAACCAAAAAGTGTAGTATTAACATAATTATTTCTGTCTTTGTCCAAAGAAGAAGTATTTCGTCAATGTACTGCCAAAGCCTGGATTTTCTTAAATAAGAACAACAGAAGCTGGCTATCTTGTCTATTTGTTGTTGCAATACAGTGAGTGTTGGAAAAAATATGAAAACTTTGTGTATCTCAACAAAACTGCTACTTTTACTTTACCTGCTGTCCGTGTTTATCTATTTTGAACTCCGTATAACTAGCTTTTCACTTACCTGTTGGTGTTTCACCTATGAACACCATGCGTAATAAGTAAAATAAGCATCATCTGAAAACGAAACCATAGTACAACATCTGTCAGATATACAACAAGACTATTCTCATGAATTCTATTTATTCGCGAATTGACTGGCCCTGAAAACTTTCAATATATCAGTGATTTTTTGCCCCCCCCCCCAATGACACAGCGGTATGTCTGTGGACATACAGCGCTAGAAACCGGGTTTCGGTACCCGTGTTGGGCAAAGCACAGATAACCTTTTTTGGGGGGAGTAGTTTTGCGCTTAACTACAAATAAAACACTGATTTTTTCCAGGCTTTATTAGGTTGATTTCTTACTTTACTCCAGGTTTTACTACTGTGGCTATGTTAGACATTTTGAATTTCTTATTTTATTATAACATAAAAAGTGTGAACAATTATGAACTAAAAGGTGATAACAGTTTTGAAAGCTTTTACAGTTCCGAGAGTGAATTTATGCATTCAACGCAGTGTGGTATATTATGAGGTAAAATTTAATTAACAGCTAAACTATTAATCTACAATACTGAGAAGTTCGGCATCTTGGCAGTAAAGTTCGAAAAACTACCCTTACTATCCAGATAATAAATAGTAAAAACTTATTATTTCAGCCACCGTTTAGCAGTTGCGGCTTCATCAGGTATGGTAGCAGAAGAACTGTTTGAAGAAATTCTGTAAGATTTGTAATGTAGCAATGTGTTGCGTTTAAATCGACCAGACAGGATAATACCACACTACAAATGTTAAATAAAAATCATTTGATTCATGACGAATGATGGAATAACTATGTCATGTAGTAGGACAAAACGTTGGTCATATTCATGTACAATGATGAAACAGCTCTGTGAGATGTAGTAGGACAACACGTTGGTCATATTCATGTACAATGATGAAACAGCTCTGTGAGATGTAGTAGGACAACACGTTGGTCATATTAATGTACAATGATGGAATAACTATGTCAAATGTAGTAGGACAAAACGTTGGTCATATTCATGTACAATGATGAAACAGCTCTGTGAGATGTAGTAGGACAACACGTTGGTCATATTAATGTACAATGATGGAATAACTATGTCAAATGTAGTAGGACAAAACGTTGGTCATATTCATGTACAATGATGAAACAGCTCTGTGAGATGTAGTAGGACAAAACGTTGGTCATAGTACATGAATATAACCAACGTTTTGTCCCACTACATTTAACAGAGCTGTTTCATCATTGTACATGAATATGTCCAACGTCTGGTTCTATTACATTTAACAGAGTTATTCCATCATAGTACATGAATATGACCAACGTTTTGTCCTACTACATTTGACATAGTTATTTCATCATTGTACATAAAAATGATGAAATAGCTCTGTTAAATGTAATAGAACCAGACGTTGGACATATTCATGCTGAATGATGAAACAGCTCCGTGAGATATAATAGAACCAGACGTTGGACATATTCATGCTGAATGATGAAACAGCTCCGTGAGATATAATAGACTATAACCGTTTGACAATGAATGTGGCTTTGCCTCTACTTTAGGTCGACGAAACTGATGTTACTAGAGCTAAAGCCTGATGAAACTGAGTAAATGTGAACTCACGACTCAAATCTGTTGCTAATTCTTACTCGGTCCGATATTTCTTGTAGAACTTATTACATGCGAAATCAGATTTTCGTCTGAAATCAAAACTCAAACTTTTAATTAATTAACATAATACAACAACAACCTTAGATACATATATTATCACGTCTCTCAAAAAACTAATAAACAGCTTAAAATCATATTCAAGAACGTTTCATCTATTTATTCGTTATATAAATGACGGGATGACGTTTAATTTTAATAGTACGATACAACACTTTTAAACTGATGACTCGAGTATTATTTGAATTTACGTCCTTTTCTTTCCCATCTACAAGATGTGTCATAATTAGTTCCAATTCGTTATTTTTAACTTTCTTTTATTGGCTTATAATAACATTTGAAGTATTATAATGTTAACATTAGTTAGTCAATAACTACATTAAAACAATTACGAGGAATCTTTACACAAACCATAAATAATTACAATAATAAGCCTTTAGTTTGTTGGGTTACTAGGAGACTATTCCGTATCTCTAGAAGAAACTTTTAAAGTTTATTTTACTTTGTACTTTAAAATATCATCCCAACTTATATTACCAGAAGAATACTTT